TAGTAGTAGTAGCAGTAGTAGTTATAGTACAATTACCATGTTTACACATAATCACGTTTATTATTATGGGCATTGACAGAAATAAGGTTGTTTTGCTGTTTATTGCTGTTGTTCTTGTTGATAGCTCCATTCTTGCTATTGCAGTTCTGTGAAAGGTTTTTATTACTACTGTTGTTATCATTGCTATTATTCTTCTTTGCCTTTTCTTATTTTTATGTTATGACTCTTATTCTCACCAGCATCATTGCCATTTTAATTTCCATCGCCGTAATGCGTAAGTAACATCAAGTCGCTGACATAATACTGTGGATGATTATGATGGTTAGCATTGTTGGAGTTAGCTCTATTACGACGACCGTCGTTCGAACTGTAAGGACTCAAAAGCTTCGATGGTTTTCGAGAACATCTGAAGGAGCTTAGGAGAGAAAGGGCGAAGGGTGTCGGCCATTGGATTTCGGCTTGTATGTGCAGAGTTGGGGCTTGGGGTTCGCATTTCAACGGTCTCCACCAGCCTGGCTGTTTTTCTTTTATAAGCTCTGTTCCAACACTCAAGCTTCGTCCTTAAAATAAACCCAGAAATTTGTCTTATGTTCACCGCTTTCATACAGCAGATTGTAGAAACTAAAGCAGGGTGCTCCACAAGCTGGCCGAGCTTGGCAATGGAAAGCCAGAAGGTAAAAGGGCTGAGGTGGTTTGGAGCTTGCTCGAAGTTACGAGTATGGATGTTGATGCAGAGAAACAGATTTCAGGGCAGGGTTCAGGGCTGTCATTTCCTTCTCACTTTCCAAGTCATGTCACGTCCCGAAGTCAGCGGTGACGTTCTCGATATCTACGCCCTCCGCCGGCTTGTTCATGTGCAACCAGCGCCAGTCAAACAGCTCCTGAAAAGCGGTGCGGCTGAGGCTTCAGGCTTCTTGTTGGGTTCGTTTCTGGTTCAGAGTTGATGCCGCCGCCCTTGCCCGTGCGTAGCTCCTGCTCAGGGTAGGAGACCACATAGAACTTGTCTTCAGCCAGCCGCACTAGCATGACTTCGCTGCTGACTTTGCCCTGTCAGGGCAGGCGCATTGATGTTGGCACCCATTGCATGGTCGGACAGCCCGCAGACGGTCTACGACTGGTTTAGGCTTCGAGTGTCAGGAGGTTCAAGCTTACGGACGGCAGCGGCCTGCGGCGTCAAGAAGTACGAAAGTGCGCAGCGGCCGACTTTTGGCAACCTCGTGAAGAAGGCTCGCTCAGGAAAGTCCGAAACTCTAAAACGTGTGTTTCCCCCTGAGCCATCCTCCCGTTCGCCTTTCGGGACGCGCTCAGCAGAAAGGGCAAAAAGCTCCAGGCCCCCACCTGTTCGGCACCAGCCGGTCCATGAAGTCTACAGCGCCAGGCCCAGAGACGTGGTACTTCGCGAACGGCCAGTAGCCTGGGATGGGATCTCAAGCATGTAAATGATATATGGGCCTGCAAAACTGAAGTATTTAGTTTGGATTGTGGAATAAGGAACTTATGGAATTGTTGTTGTGATCCTTCAGGCTTCCATAGTACTACAACATAGAGGTTCTGCCTTCTGGGTTTCGGCGCAGACGAGATGATTGCAGACGACCGGGGACCGGGATTTTCAGGTAGAGTATTTCGTCTGCCATATTGCAAGGGCCTAAATAATTATCAATACCAGTTTGGGTGCTCCTTATTACTTCTATCATATAATGGGCCCAAAAACCCTGTCCTAATCATTAAGGCCCCTATACTAGGTTAGCCCACTCCTGCACAGTATCGGTTGGACTCAGGGCATTCCGGCTGATCAAAGATAACATGCCTCGACACGGATATCAGACGGGATCGATACAACAACATACATGATCGGAACAGTTAAAGCGGAATACCTTGAGATCTCTCTCAAGGACATGCTTCGAATTGCGGCCCAAACCATAAAGCGCCTTAAATCATTCTCCCATCCATGAACTATGCAGATGGCTAAGCTCATGGTTGTGACGGCCGTGGTGATGATAAACCGATTTGATGTAAGAGATCAGAGAGTTTTCGGTCGCCGCTTTCTGACAAAATGTCCAGTACTATTGTTACGAGTAGTATGTAGAACAACTGAAGTTCCCCGCACGCCCCAACCACAGTCAGGAAAGCAGCAAATGCCACCGAAGCCAGCCATCTCACGGCACTCCTTCTCGACCAAATCCTTGCACCAACGACGCGCTGGGAGGACTTTCTGATGCTCAGGGTTCGAGGTTTCTGATAAGTAGGAGGGCTACTCAGTAGGATCTCTATATTAGGGTTTCGGGTTCAGGGGTCCCTGATTTTCTGAAATGCCAACATGGGCATTGGGGCTTTCAGTTCACGATTGAGGATTGGGTCGAGGTGAACCTCTGCTTCGCAGGAAATCCCGAAATATGCAGCCATAGTACATTAATTTGACTAAAAACTCCTCAGAAGTCCTACCAGTAGCATCTGCGCTTGAGGCCTACAACTCTCCCAACAAAGGGTCACACACACACACACACAACACCTCAGAATAGAACCGCCGCTCCCAAGAAAGGACCCAAACGGTCCTTGTAGGGTGGCCGTCGAAAGGAGCCCCGGGCATTGCCGTGCTGCTCGCCCCCGGAGCTGGGGTCGAAATAGTTCGCGGACTCCCATCCTGCCAAACTGAGCTGCAAAAGAGCCCAGGTGTTCCGGTTTGGGGTTTAGGGTTTGGGTGTGGTGATTTGGGGGTGGCTTCTGGGTTTTGCATGAGGGGATACTGGCTTTTTAAAGGCTGTGGTCATGGCATCGCGGAAGCAAAAGCTTACAAAGCAAGAGGTTACAGCTGTCGAGGTTGCGTTGCAACGTGCTGCAACTTGCCGCTGTGCTGATTCTAGCAAACAGCTGGGTGGCAAGCCCTCCAAGGAGGACTCGGTGCAAAGGATAGAACACCATCTCAACTGTGAGGCCAGGACGTCCCTGTGTCTAAACATCCGACGTCTACCAAGCCACTAAGCCTATTAATGTAGGGGCCTTACTAATTTCAATAGGGCTGTGGGGCCCAATATACTACAGTTATAAGAAGGAACCCCCCGAAATAGTGTGAATTATTTAAGCCCCTATACATTTTTTACAGCAAGCCCAAAGGCGCTCAAAGACTTCCGGTCCGTTGTGGAAGCCGAACTGACAGCCCTGGGACTTCAGCACGTCCTTGAGCTGCACTTCGCATTTGGCGGGGGAGGCTGCTGCGAAGCTGTGGACTGGAGAAAGTTTCAGACATGCGCTGAAGTCTGCATCACCCTGGAGATCATACTATGCTGAAAGTAAAGCTCCCAAGATGGCAAGGAATGCTTGCAATGCTCTCATGACGAAACGACTCTGCTTGCTTACGGCTCAACCTTAAGCCCTTAAACCCAAAGACTAGGCAAGAGCTGAGCAGAGTCACGTAGATATCACCATTCGGAATCGGCTCCACAGGCCTTGGTAGCAGCAGAGATCCCCAAAAGCTGTCGTGCTGCGCGTTTTTTCCGGGGCGACGGCCTGGCGCCCAGCAAGTTCTCGTTCGGGAAGTGCACGTGGTTGTTCATGCCATAAGTCTCTCGAACCTCCAGGCGGAAGACACAGCGCTTGAAACTTCCACGGTTGTGAAGAAGTTGTGCCTCAAGGCTTCTCGTGGGGCCTGGGGATTTGCGTGAGGAATCTGCGGAGTGTGGCTCTTTAGGGGGGTTGGGAGTTGAGGGGCGGTCAGCTAGCATCCGTTCGGCAAGGAACAGAGGATTTGGCACGACCAGCAAACTGTCCCACGAAGGGGGGGGGGGGGGGGGATTGCAGTGGGAAAGCGATTTAAGTAACTCTGTACCAGCGTTGCAAAATCAAACATCATGGAACATAAGTTTAAGATGACTCATGCTGGGATTCCCTATAAAAATGTTCGGAACTCTTCTAGAGATTCACACCACATGATTGGACTTCGCCGAGCCCGCACCTTCGTGGCCACCCAGTCCTTCGTGGCCCATGCACCGTACCTGTCACTACACATGCTAGGAAAGAGCCCGAGCTCCAAAAGGCTTACTTGGAGTCTTCTCGTCGTCGTCATAGTCGTCGTTATAGCTTTCGTCGAGAAGTCGCGGCAGTGAGAATGGCAGTGAGGCAAGGGCTAGAGGCAGCAGCAGCAGCAGCAGCAGCAGCAGAAGCAGTAGCAGCGGCAGCACTGTCAACAACATTTATAGCAGAACAGGCAGCAGCGGTAGGAGTGGCTGTCGTCGTACAGTAGTCGTCGTAGTAGCAGCAGAAATAGCGGTGACAAAGCAGTCGCCCTGGCAACGGCAGTGGCAAGTGCAGCATCAGTAGCAGCAGTAGTACGTGGTAGCAGTAGCAGTAGCAGCAGCAGCAGCAGCAGCAGAAGCCGCAGCAGAAGCAGAAGCAGTGGCCAACATCCTCCGTCAGCCATGAAGAATTCCGGCCTCGCAGGGTCGGCCTCCTTCAGTTCCTGTGGGGGTTTAGGGTTTAGGGCTACGCAAAAAACTCAAGTTCTGCTAGCCGGAGCAGAAGTTGTGGACACTTGGTTCAGGAGCTTTGGGGCGAGCTGTCTGCTTGGGGCTTTGATTTGTGTACCCATGTTCTACTACAAAGGGTACAGTACTTATCCACAGGTGAAAGTAGGAGGCACTTTCATGTTTCATGGTGCTCGGCTTGGCAAGTGGATATGTGGAACCTTTGAGTTGTAAGTCTTGCAGAAATCGGTCTGGCAATTGAAGCAGTATATCCGAACAAACTGCCCTAAGCAACTGAACCTACTCCTGGGACGCAGGGGACTCCGGGCAGCCAGGGCTCGTAGGGCGGCTCCCCGTTGGCAATCCACTCCGACAGGTAGCGGCTTAGGCCTGCGCTGTGCGCAATGCCGTAGGACCTGCAAGATCTCACGCTCCAGGGCTTCGGAAATCTCGGCGTTGAACCACATGCAATCTGCATCCCTTTAGACAACTCTTGCTGGAAAGTCTCAGCAAGCCAAGCTGCCTTATCTTTTAGACTGAAGCATCGGAAACTCAACGGTAAAAGGACGTGTAACGGTACATGAGCGTATGGATGTGTTACTGTACGGGAACCCACATCCAACTGTTCTTGTGTATATCAGAATGTGCATTTACAACGCATATCGACCAATATAGGTAGACATGTGTATATGTATATATATATATATATATGTGTGTGTGTGCACATGTATGTATGTATATGCATGTATGCATACGTAGATGTAGATGCATAATTACGTCTTATGCGTTTGTGTCTGTGCAGCTGTCTACCTCTCCGTCTGCATGTACCTGTTCGTTGGCCCATGTATATGCATCTGGCTATCTTATCTCAAGCATTATCAGCATTCGCTTCCTAGGCCCCGGGCTCTGCGCATGCCAGCCAAAAGTTGGGCGCCACGTCCCACTCCGGTGCAGGGCCGACAAGGTGGTTTCCATCCGCCGGCCACATCGTGGGCCCGTTCAGCACGGTCTTCATGCCTTCCGTCTAGAATCTAGAAACGATGCTGTTGCACGTTACAGCTTTCACGACACGATCGGGCAGGCTTTCCAGGCACAACCAGGATGTCATTCACATGAGTGCTGGGGTGGCTAGGGCTAGAGTGGCTGCAGCTGCATGTCTTCTGTCTTACCCCGGCCTACTTCCCCAAATTGCGGCAGGATCTCCATCGCCCGCTCCAGGTGCGGCATCAGGCGCTCCACATCGCCCTCAAAAAGGAAGTTAGAGTACCTCAGAGCAGAAGTACGCAACCTGAAACATGTTTCAGGATCATCTCTGCCACCATTGCGGACACTGCCCAGGGAAAGTAGGAGGCGAGGTTCGGGCGAGTCTGCGTTGCTGTAGTTGTTGATCATACATGACATACATGTGTATGTATGTGTAATCACGTACACATAAATGCCCAGGTATGCATGTAAAAGAATGGGCATATAAACGAAGCATGTATATTTATGCGCAAATCGAAACATGGAATATCGGTTAATAAAACATCGAGTGGTACATCCATAAACAGAAAACCAATGAATATACAAACAAATCAACAACTGAATAAATCAACGAGTGAACAAGCAAACGCGTATTAGATTGCAGATGGATAGAGAGACAGACAGACAGATAGATAAACAGATAGTAGCCGCATATTCGGTCCTTCCCTCCTTCCTTACTGAGGACCCGGCTCGTTGGGCATGCCTGTCTGCCGCCACTCCGCCGGGGCGAGCTGCATGGCCTCCGAATACTCGTAGGGACCCAGCCTCGGCGAAAGCTCCCAGGCGCGGAAGTAAAAACCGTAATGTCGGGGCCTTAATAATTAGAATAGGGCTTTGGGGCCCATTATGCTATAATAATAATGAGGAATCCCCAAAATAGTAGAGGTAACTATTAAGGCCCCTATGTTAACACCACTGCAAGGAAACCAACTAGCACAAGAATGGGAATGATGAGACAGAACGACTAGTGTTCGTCGCGGTAGGGTTGTGGAAGCTGCAGTGGTGGTAGTGTCGTCGTAGTGGCAGCAGCAGCAGCAGCAGCAGCAGCAGCAGCAGCAGCAGCAGCAGTAGCAGCAGCAGTAATAGTCGTTGTCGTAGTAGCGGTTGTAGTTGCTGTTGTTGTTGCTGCTGCTACGGCCGGTGCATTGGTAGTACGAATAATGGCCCTCCTTGACAGACAAGGCAAGCCAGGCCGCCTAGACACAGCCGCGTGCAGAATACTGATAAAACGTCATCACACTTTAAGACTACATAGAATTCCAGTAATCCATATTAAGTATAGTGGCTGGCAATACAAGCTTAACTCTAAGTGAGTATGCAATTCAGCCATATACCGTATGATTTGAACTCCAATACCTCAACGCCTGACCCGTAATGACATGAATCGCAAATGCTGCCAGACAGAAGCCGAAGGTAAGGTTTGATGCTTGACACAGAAATTCAATGCCAGGTTTAAGTTTTTGACTATCTTTGTTGCAACTATCAAACCATGGGTGCGCAGCTGAAAGTGTAGCACACCACAGCAAATGCTCGCTTCCGACCGAAACACTCCCTTCAGGATACATCGCGGTTGATGTTTCTCACTTAACCCTAAACCCAAAATTAAAAAATCTAAGCTTTTGAGGGCTCCGGTAGGGCTTAGTTGAGGTGTGTATTCCAAGTCGCAGGATCCCGTCGCGTTCGTCGCGCACGTAGAAGGAGCCCTTCAAGTCCCGGAGCACTGGCAGCTGGTGGCCGTGCTTGTCGTGATACTCCTGATGCATACACACAGAGTATACGGATATACACATGCATATACAAACTTACATGCATACATGCATACATGCCCATGTGTGTGTATATATATATACACACAGAGACAAACACGTATATGATCCTATGCGTGTGTGTCGTTCGAGCTACCTGCATGCTGCTTATCTGCAAATTCTCCGGCATAAATGCGCATAAAAGCAAATGTGCTTAGGCTTCTTTATACATATGGTCGGCCGATAGTATTGCGATCAAAGTCTGTCGCGCTTCCTGTAACAAAGAGGACGACAGGACTAGATAGTCTAAGGAGACGACTGCCCTCTTTTTGCAGATCGGGTGCCGTGGACGACAGGAAGAAGCAACTTACATCACATCGCGGTCCTTCACTTCCGGGATGGCCTCCGTGATGCAGTACCTCGCCCCAAGCAATTCGAGCGTAGTTTAATGATCATGCAGCAGTGATCCTAGAGAGTCAGGCCTGTGCACAATCTAGGTGATCTGAGTGGAAGTCTAGAATCTTGGTCTGTAAGCGACATCCAGCCCGTCTGTGTCTACGAAGGCGTGGCTCCTCTGCGCTGTAGAGGAGTCAAGAATGACAGGGCTCCAGAGGGAGCTCTGCCCTTCTTGATAGCTGCTTCGGTGAGGGAGAGCGAGGGTGGCCTTGAGCATGGGATAATCTTGGCACGAAAACCCAGTCGAATCAATGTCGTCGTTGCAACCCACCTTGCTGCCCTGAGCACCATGATACGCCAAGTCATGACTACTGCTGCGACGTGCAGTGTGTCAGGCCAGGTTTGCAAAAGATGTTTCAGGAAATCACCGCCAGATGAAAACGACTCAAAAAGTGGTAGTGTCGTTGCACCCCTAAAGTCCCCTTGGTTGCTCTGTTGGGCTCACTGATGCTGCAACACCACCGACGGCACGCGGACGCCAGCCATGGCACCAACTTTGTCGCCTGAGTTGTCCGTGCACGGGTCCAGTGACTGCTTGACTGGGTTACTCAAATACCCTGGCCAATGCCCTACGCACAAGTGGACGCGGCCTTACTCACAACTTTTCAGAAAAAAGATCATGCAAAGTCAGCTGAGAACCACGTCGCTTCCGCAGCCCTGAACCCCCTCAGAGCCTTCGAAGACAAGTGGCACCAGAGCCCGGCTGCGTTGATCACGAAGTCTGCTACCGTCCGCTTTTCTTCACCTGTTTCGGAGGAGCTTCGGATTTGATTAAACTGCTTTTGGGGCGGATCTGGCTCCACCGTAAGTACGGCAGATCGCATGAGGCGACTGAACTTTAAGGTGATGCGACTTGGAGGTTAGGTTGGCTGATGAACCCAAACACAAGCAACTAGATCTTTGGTATCGGGCTTTGACGTACTTCAAGGATGACTTCAGCTTACCCCTGCAACCCACAAGAACGGCAGCAGGCTGCAAAAGACATGTCCGAAGTTCCCGGTCCTTTGCCAAATCTAGCCCTAAACCCCAAACCGTTTTGGGAGATGAATCCGTGCCTGCAGCTGTGCGGGTAATGACTTCCCACTGCTTGCTGGGAAGCAGGTTGAGGGCCACCACCTGTGCATGGCGAGGCCGGTTCAGCCGGCTCTGTGAACTGGGGATTAATTCGGGGATCAACATAATCAACGCACAGACGCGCAAACACAAATGTGTGTGTATGTATATATATATATATGTATGTATATTGGCTATTCTCTTTTTAATTATATATTCATTTGCTATCTATGTTTCTAATTATTTATTTCTTTAAGGTATGCAACATGTTTAATACAAGTACAGAAAATTCCAGCTTTGGTGGGTGTCCAGGACAGATCGCCGCCGGAGCTGCTGCGTCAGGATCTAGCCGTTAAAACTGCGACATATTGACCCATTATATGGTTCGGGTCAGGGAAAATTCTGCCACGTGATATGACAAGATATGACAAGTGGCAAACGCTGGCGATGACCTGGTGATAAAGATTGTCATGATGCTGTCGGCGATAGTGGCAACGGTGACTCCGACTGCAAAGATTACTTGTTGGTTGCTCATGTTCAAAGTCTTGCTTGGGTCGTTGTTCATGCTTTTCTTTGTGTATGGTTCTGTCCAATTGCCCATTGTCGGATTCGCAATAAGTTGATACCCTTGTTCAATCGCAGGTGGTGGTGCCTCCGTTTTCTGCTCGATGACGCCGCCGAGGCCTGTTGCAAGGAGGGGAGGTGCACAGCATCTACACCCGCACGGCTTCCATGTATAGGATGAAGACGTTGGCATCAACAGCTGTGAGGAGCCCTTCATGGCTCGGGAATGTAATCATGGGGCAGCTCGCGCCAGACCTTGCGAAAAGATCCTTGATGCGCTGCAGCTACTAACACCTTCGAGTGATGAAGCAAAACCCCCAAGTTCCTCCCTAGCTGCTATGCTGCTGAATCGGAATTCCTGAAGGGTTTGGGGTTTAGCATTACCCTAAACCTTAAACAAACCCTCAACCCTCTGGCCTTTAGCTCGGTCTGCAAAGGCATTTGTGACACTGCTTGGGTCGATGTGACCATCCCCCTCTGTCAAAATGCCAGCATAGATCCCGCTGTCGTCTAGGTTCACCAGAGGATGCTTCTCCTGCAGGGCGTCGGAAGATCTGAAAACCCAGGAATCGGTCAAGCGTGAGGCCCTAAACCCTAAAGCCCTAAACCCTAGGCCCTAAACCACAAACCCCGACCCTTTTTCCTTGATCTCATCTGGGGAGATCATGTGGTGTTCAGCACAACCGAATAGAGACGAGAAGATCTTCGCTTTGCCGACTTGGTATCTGGCCTGGTTCAAAAAAACAGAGCTAAGAGCATTAGCGTTATTCTTGTTGTTATTGTATTATTATTGTCATTTTCGATATTATAGTCGCTAAAATATATCGTGCTTATCGTTATTATAGTTGTTATAGTTGTCATTACGAAGCATCCTTTACAGTCTATGTAACCTTCCGAGGAGCTGAAGAAGAGCGACAAGACTCGAAACCATGCACCGGCTGATATGCAGACAAGCGAGCCTCGTCGATGTAGGACTTCCTGCAGGTATCTTTCATTGCATTCCAAACGTAAAAAAAGTTCAAAGGCGCAACGCTGAAGGGACATGGCTCGCGGCTACACTGGAGGCAGACTCGCCAGGACATGCAGCAGCTGTGCGGAAACCCTTGTGACTGTGACTTCAATCTTCAGAATGTACTGCAAAACTCACAGTATTTGACGGCATGATATTCTTGATACAAGTTAAGATACGACAAGACAAGATGGGATGATATCAGATGAGGTGAGATAAGATAAGGCAAGACCCTATAAGACAAGATAATGCAAAAGCGCAGAAGACAACGGCACAACAGAAAATAGTCGCTTGTACAGATGTGAAGTAGACTAACACGCAATACAGTGCAATGCAATGCCTCTATATATATATATATATATATATGTGTATGTGTGTATATATGTATACACACTTTCTCGAAACATGTACCAAACAACGTAATGTAATGTAACACAACACAAAAATGTAATAGAACACCATGTGCTTCAATGGCAAATCAAAAGGAGCGTAATGTAATGTAATGCAATGTAGAAAACTAGACCATAATGTGCAATGTCGTGGAGCAGAATTTAGAAGACTAGGTGCATAATGTACTCTCATGTAATATTGATGCAAAATTACATGAGGCAACATTACATTTTAGTTTCACAAAATAATATATGTGAAGTATGGTGTAGCATAAAATGCCTATACCTGACATTCTATGGCACAATACTGTGTTTTATAAAAGACAGAATATAATAGAACACACTAAGGATAGAATTGGCTATAGTAGACTAGAACAAGTTACAACACACTATCATACAACGAAATATGCAGTAATATCACAGCCCCTCAATGATTCGTCATCTTGTCCCTTCGAAACCCTTAAACTCAGCTCAATAAATGCCGAAGCCCTGTGCCACTTATGTAGGGCCTTCTTTACCGAGGCCAGTTACGGGTTCCAGAAATAAGAAGGATCCCTCGTTTCGACCGTCAGGCAACAGGATCCTCATGACAAGAAGCTTCAAAGAGCGACCCTAATATTAAACACAATTGAACTACGCCAAGAAGCTCGTTGGGGATCAGTCGGATGGAGCCCGGCGTGTGAAAACTGAGCGGGGTTCCTGCCGGTGCGAAACACTGTGCGACATGGAAGGCGTAGGTATGTAGCTCTGTAATGTACTTGTATATCCACACAAAGATGTGCACGTGCACATTGAGATATCGTGCGTAAATGAATGTATATGTACAGTGTGTTCGTGGTCTCGGTGAGTGAGCGTGTGTGTGTGTGTGTGTGTGTCTGTGCGTGCGCTTGGACACAAAGCCCTGTTACATAGGTAGTTAAATAGCTCTTAGGTTAGATTGGGTTAGGTTGGACTAGACTAGACTAGATTAGAATAGACTTAGATTAGGCTAGCTGAGCTAGGACTAGACCAGACTAAGTCAAGATTAGATTGGATAGCTCTGTTGATGGGTAGATGGTTAGTCAGATAGATAGACAATAATTTAAGGTAGACAGATAGATAGACAAATATGCACATGTGTAATTCTGTAGACACCTACAGAAATATACCTATACATGGATATATATATATATATACATGTATGTACACATGTATATATGTATACATGTACATCTACACAATAAATAAATACATACATACATACATATGCATGTATGCATGTGTGCATGTATGTACATACATGCATGCATGCACATTTGTATTAATCTATAGATCGTTACATACATGTGTGCAGTTCTATACATATATACATGTACATGTCTACATGTTCAATTATTTGCGTATTTGTTTAGAACCAGCGAAGGAATTGCACGATTTACTCCCTTCGCAGTATAGAACAAACAGCTCCAGGAGCACGGGCAAAGGATCCAAGAAGCCCGCCTTCGTTTTGCCACTGCGTAAAGAGGTTCACACCCTCATCGTGCCACAGGCGGAAGTTGTTACCGCCATGGAAACGGGTCACCAGACCCGCTGCATGCCAGGTGGCTCCACAAGTAAGCTCGCCCTGCCAGTACTCAACATCACATTTACAATCGTCAACTAGTTGCACTGCAGTGGCAATCTTGCGGCTGTGTGCAAAAGCAGAGTCTAAATAATCTTGGTCGGTAGGCCGTCTACAAGTAGAGTTCAGTCCAGACTATAGAATGGAGCCCGCTTTCATGCTTCTTCTCCACTGTCCTTCCGCTTCTCTAGAGCCCCCGGCACCTTTTCAAAAAGGACGCACTTGACGCCCCGCTGGGCAAGGTTGTAGAGCATGGCGCATCCGGTGACGCCTCCCCCGACAATGACACCTGTGCAGGTCAAGGGATCTCGTCACTTTCTTGAGTTCCATGAGTATAATAGAGCAACATAAAGTATCGCATGCTATAGTATACTATAGTATACTATAGTAAAGCATAATAGAGGGATGTGCGACAATCAACAGCAGCTGCCACCTGAAACGCCGCGCACACTGCCTGCGGCATGGCGTTGCCACACTCGCCTAGCAGCAGGACCTGCGAAGCCGATTACACGCGGGCTCCGGCACTTCATGATCTGTCGGTGAACTGCAGGAACTCCCTGAAGGGAGGGGCCCCTAAACTTGGAACCCTCAGACCTAAACTCCCGAAACCCTCAACTCCCTATACGAAACCCTAAACTCCCGAAACCCAAAACTCCCTATACTATACCCTAATCCCTAAACTCCCGAAACCCTAAACTCCCTAAACCCTAAACCCTAAACCCTAAACCTAAACTCCCTACAACAGCCCTAAACCGGGCTGCGACCAAGGCGCCAGCAGCTTGCCACATGATCAGAGGAAGACGGGGGAACTGTGGCGCAGCTGGGCCGGCTCGACAGTCAGCTTGAGCCCGGAGCCCCAAGGGTTTAGGGTTTAGGGCCCAAAAACAGCGGGTGCTGAAGGAGGGCCTAAGGATTGGGTGAGGGTTTAGGGTTTTATATATAAATTAGGGCTTAGGGTTGAAAAATAAATTAGGGTTTAGGGTTTTATGTGTAAATTAGGGTTTAGGGTTATATGTATTAATTAGGGTTTAGGGCTTCTGTACTAATTAGGGTTTAGGGCCGGGGTTTAGGTAGGGCTGGGATCTAGGAATATGTAGGATTTTGTGCGATTCAAAAGATGAGTCTGTTGGTGATCCCGACGATAATGATCAGGACTGTGATGATGGGCAGGTTGTTAAGGATGATGGTTCAGATTGGGCTGCTGCCCAAAATGACCGAAGCGCAGCCGACTTCTGGCTAGCCACCACGGCCTTTTCTGGGTACCACAATGAACCTCTCTAAGGCGTCAACGCGGTCTAGTTAACGACTTCCAGCTCTCGGCACAGAAAAAATGTAACTATCCAGATTTGCTGTAGTATCTAAGGCCACCGGGGTTTGAAATTCAAGGCAAGTTACCCTGTCAAAAAACAGAGGTATGATTGCAAGGCTCCCAGCCACCTGATCCAGAGCCCCTGCGCCAAGTGGAGGAGAATGAAACAGTATGTCAATATGATCCGGGTCCATCATGTTCTGAAACTCAACCCTGAGCCCTAAATCCTAAAACCTAGAAGCAGAAAAACAGAAAACTAAAATGGGGGTTTCCGAAAATAGGGGACCCTAATATAGTACCCTAAATAGTAGGATCCTTATTATAAGAACCCCAAAATAAGGTACCCCTAATTTTCGGAAACTCCCAAATCGCACTCAGGTCACTCCCTTTCTCTGAGGGTGCTGGACTCAGGTTCTGCTCCGATCTTTGGGAGCGATCCGCATCTGGCCACCTGCAAGAGGGCACCCAGGAGGTTATAGGGCCGTACGGGCTTATAAGCTTAGGGCTTTGTGTTTAAAGTTTAAAGTTTGGGTTATTCGGGTTTAGGGTTCGATTGGGTTAAAGCTTCAGGGTTGTTGCGTTTGTTTCGCTCTCCCCTATGCCCAACGTACTCCACAGTTTGAAATGGAAGGTGTATTAAGGGTAGCAGCGTTTTCAGAGCTTGGGGCTTTTAGGGTTGAGGGTTGAGCGCGCCGATGCCCTGTTGGTAGCGATTCAGGCCTGTACACTGCTCTTCATGGATTCGATGTCTCGGCTGTAGAGGTTGTAAGTCTTGCTGTCTCTGACCTGGCACCCTAGCCCCGGAACCCGAAATAGAAAAGCTCTAATCCAACACAAAACTAAATCACTAAACCCTAAACCTTGAATGCTAAAACCGCAAAACCCTCATGGTGACACTTATAGATACCCTTATTATAGAAACCCTATAAGCCCCTAAAACGACCACTTCCACTTTATTGCGCCTCTCTTGCAGCGTCTCCGCGGCGGTGCAGGAGCCCAGCAAGCCGTCGGCGGCGGCCTTGCATAGAGCTCGGTCTTGGGGAAGCTGAAGGAGATTAGCGCTGACAGGGTTTAGGGTTTAGGGTTGTGGTTTAGGCCTTTTTAGAAGCTTAGGCCACCCCAAAACGTGAGCAAGATCCTCGCCATGGTCGGTCTCTGATTTTCTGCAACTCACAAGTTTTGTGTTCTGGTGACGGCTGTAGATAATGAGCCCGAAGAAAGGAAGCCCCATCATCCGGAGACAATGCTTCAGAATGAGTTTCTGCAGTTCAGAGGCCACAAAAACTACCGAACCGTGGCACTCCTCATCATGAGAGTCCCTAAAGCCGACCCTCTAAACGCTTAAACCATCTTCAATCCCTAAGTCCCAAGCCCCAATTCAATCCTTAACCCTGATCACCACCCCCAACTCCCTAAGCCCTTTCCTGAGCCCTGCTTTCCAGCAGAAGTCCACGCCCGGAGCCGTGCCTGAAGCGTAAGGCCTGCCTCTCGGAGGCGTGCCTCGTTTGCAGGGGGGGGTGGGAAAAGAACTGCGCCGTAGTGTGGTTCTAAGGATTGACGGCGCCAACACATGCAGCTGCTACTCAAAATATACCAATTGGCTGCAGGCATGTACCAATGACGACAGCTTTGCTGCCTGATGCTGCCTGAGATGATGATGCAGAAGCAGGACACGATGATGTTCGCTCGGGAGAAATAGTACTGCTACAAGTTACCATGGTTATTATTCCTATTACTATTCTAGCGATAAACCTTCTCCCACAGACTCCAAAAAATCATATCTATAGGTGAAATACCTTTGCTGTGCTCTGCTTCGGCTGCGGGGGCCCTGGGTGGATAGCTCAAGGCTTGTGGTGCTAGGCTTCGGGGCGGGGAGTCTGGAGTAGAGTTTAAGTCCGTACACAAAAACAATGAAATCTCGTGAAATCTCGAGCTGTTCTGACTGGGACGCTGACAAGCTCTTGCCGAGTTTGTCGCAGCTCCTGCCACCAGATTGGCAAAACTGATCAACACAGATGAGCTTTCTAGGTTAGAGAGTCAGCTCAGAATCATAAATTCTCACACCCTGCACCCTCTAAGGAACCCTCATTCATCCCAAAAGTCCTTTTCGCCGAGTTTAGCCCCAGCTTGGACCACCGTGATATCCGATAACCCATACTCTGGTGGGTCTTGTCAGAGCCGGTCCAGTCGGGCCTGACGTTGCTGGTCATGTTTCTGCAGCAGGAGATCGTACTGCAGCTCCCACCTTGCGGTGGTGCTCAAGCGAAGTCCGTGCATCGAGCATCATCGAGCTGCGTTGCTTCTCCAGATCGTTTCTACAGTAGGGGACCCTAGTATAGTACTCTAAATGGTAGGATCCTTATTTCAAGGACCCCATAATATAGGCTGCTTGGGTGCAAGTCTTAATTACCGGCCTTTTCACCCATGGCGGCACGCATGTTAATTCGGGAAATCGCTTCCTTGCCCCTCTGGCACGTGCAACCGATAACACAGCCAGGGTTGCGGAAGCAAGGCCCCTTTTCAGGTTTGACCCTTGCTTGCATGCTACAGACCATGCACTGCTGTCCTTAATTAGGGCACTGGCACGAAGAGCAGACTTGAAGCCACAGGATAGCAAACATGATCTACGCTATTCAGGTTCATGCGAAATATCACAGAGGTAGCCAATCGCTAGCATGAACAACAGATGCTGTATCCGCATTGTAGCCAGTGTCCTAGCAGCAGGGTACTACCTCGAGGGCTCCCCCAGAATTCCCTTCGCAGCATTATCGGCCCAGAAGGGCCCCCAGAAAACAACTCATCGCCGCACTCCTGCAGACAAGCAGGATTTCTGGGTCTCTGGGAATCAGAAACAGGCTTCTTTCGGCTTTGGAGGTTGGCTCACATCTATGCTGTCACAAAGAGTGGCTTCTGAAGGCTCCACTTTTCGTAGCGAGGCCTGCAGATCATACGACTCGAGCTCCCAGCATTTCGGGGTAGCCAACTTACATACATGCATACGTACATGTTTTCGTACAGCTACATTACAATTACATTACATTATATTACATTACATTACATTACATTACATTACATTACATTACATTACATTACATTACATTACAGTACCTTACATTGCATTACATTACACTACAAAAGCCAACGCACACACACACACATACATGCATACCGTGGCCTTTGGTGCTAGGCAGCACGAAGGGTTTCCCAGGTCCTGTGATCTGTGCCAGCGACCCACATAGCCGTGTCACGGAGGCCTGGATCGTCTTTCACTCATGCCCAGGCGCTTGTAACCCTCCTGTCAGACCGTCTGTTGCTAAAAGGTGGCCAAGAGGCATGATGCAGGTGGCGAAGGCAGGCGAGGTTGGAAGAGGAAGGTGGCAGCGAGTGTCCTGAGGGCACCACCGACCAGCAGACACGCCGGGCATATAATATAGACATACACGACCTTGTTGTGCTGAGCAAAATTATTGCAAGGCTGTTCGTCCACACATGAAGCTCCCTGGTCGAAGCGGTCCTTTCTCCAGCCGCAACTTCGTGGCCTGCTGGCCCAGCGACAGCAGATCCATGTCCTCATCGCAAGACGATGGAACAGAAACAGGCAAACACACACGCACACAACACACACTTGCACACGCACACACACACACACACATCTTCGATTCGTCTACAAGTTGTATACAACTTTCCTCAACACCTCAAGGTGGTGACAGCCGAGGGCCAGCAAAGGCAACCTCTCCCAAAGATGCAATGCTTTCAGAAACTCGCCCCGAAACAAATCCACAGAATCATCTCTGCATGCTAGACAGGGTTTGGGGTATAACGTACTATAGTTTTTCAGGCTGCTACATGAGGTCCTCATCAGAGACGTCGTCAGAATTCGCGACTTCTTCATCGTCACCTGCTCCGCCGTTGCCTCCATTTCCTTCCTGCACTGGCCAAACGCCCCGGCGCACGTAACCCTCCCATGTGTGCAGACTCTTCTGATTCGGGACCCTTACTAGAAGGAACCTCGTATGAGGTACCCCCCTCATTTTAGGGCGCGTTTGGAGGTGCCTAGGAGGACGCTCGCAAAGCGAACGAGTAATGCCACGGCCTGGCAGGAGATCGCCCTGACGTCGAGGACGGCCTGGATTTCAGCAGGCTGAATTCGGACCATCAGCTTTTGTGTGGATGATCATGTCGTGGAAGTTCGTGCATAACGACCAACAAGACAATGATGACAGAACATCAGAAATCACCAACAGTCGGCTGCTTGCTAACTGTCGTAATGTCAACAATATCGTATCCCTTGTTCGTACGATCTTCAGATTCGCTGTTGACACTATCCGGGAAGTACTATGCTAGCAAAAGTATGTATATGTGTATATGTTCGGTAACATAGTCTTCATCGTATGCTATGCGGTTCAGAGAACTGCCACAAAACCAAAACCAAAATCGAGTATCCACATCTTCAAGCTCCGAGCGAGGTCCTCATCACCGGAATCCGGAAGGCCTAAGACCCAAACCCTGAAGCCTTGTGTCAAGCAACCTCCTACATTCCAAACCTTGAAAACCTGCACCCGGACATCCCCCTAACTCCGTCATGTAGACCGCTGCCCCCCCCCTGCCCCCCCGGAATAAGGATGAACTTTCGGAGCACTGACATTAGGGCCCTCGTCCCTAGACAGCTCGCATGAAATTCCTGCCGAAATCAGCCTCTACAACCCTTTCAACCCCCGTTTCTTTTTGACAAACCCACGGCCTGGTCCCAAATCTTCTGGTTCGCAACCAGCTGCCGAAGCACCGCCTGCAGGGGGCCCAGAGCCGGCACGTCCCCCAAATCCTGAACCTAAAAGCCCGAACTCCTAGGGTTTAGGGTTTAGGGTTTATAGGGTTTAGGGTTTAGGGTTTAGGGTTCAGGGTTCAGGGTTCAGGGATTAGGGTTTAGGGGTTTAGGGTTTAGGGTTTAGGGTTCCTTCAGAGCC